TTTAAAATGTCTTAAGAATTTAGACTTTTCTCAATAGTGAGACATGTCTGCTTCTGGCAGCATCAATTACTTCAAGAGGATGATGGGCATTGGAGAGACTCCTTATGGAGATTGCTAGCCATTTGAGCAAGAAACTGCTCTTGGCTGGACTGCTTGATGCTATGCTGTATGAACTGGACATGCAGGACCTACAGAAAAGTGACTGCTAAACTTTCCAAAAGATGGGCTGATCTTTCAGGGTTCCTGCTTCACAGAGGAAACTGCCAGATATTCTGCAGGACACAGAAGAAAGTGATTGACAAACTGCCAATATAGTCTAAACCATCTTTCAAATTTTCTGCTTCATGGAAAAGTCTGCTGGTAACTATGGGCCTGTAGACTGAAGATGGACGCCCCAACATTACAGAAGAACTTTGGATGACTGTCCAGGCAGCAAGATGTCTCTTTCAATTCTAGAGTTTTGTAAGTTGTTTACAATGCACTTCCTGTTTACTTGAGTAATATATCTTTCTGGGGTCTTTGAAGAGTTGAAGACAGATAGTTATAGTTCTCTTTAGTTATGATAAAAATAAATTAGATATAGAACTTTAGACTCACAAGATAGGATAGGTGACAGAGTATTTTCCTTAATTTGCCAAATACAAATAGACTAAATATTGTAACTGTAATTCTTCCTTGATACCTGTTTTGTTTTATATAATTTTACTATATTAAAGTTAAAACCTTCCTTTTTATTTAGACAGATGTGGGGTTTCCCTCTGTATACTATGAATATGTTTTATTACCATTGGTTAATAAAGAAGCTGCTTTGGCCTACGGCAGGGCAGAATATAACCATGCTGGATGAATATATATAGAGAGAGTAGGTGGAGTCAGGGAGACACCATGTAGCTGCCAAAGGAGACAGACATGGGGTCCAGACATGATACACAGATTAATAGAAATGGGTTAATTTAAGATGTAAGAGTTAGTAAGAAGCCTGAGCTAATAGGCTAAACAGTGTTGTAATTTAGTTTCTGTGTGATTATTCGGGTCTGGGTGGCCTGGAAATGAATGAGCAGCCTCTGCCTACAGATCAACCTAGGTTCATTGATCAGTGCTGATAAAAGGATTCAGGTTAAAGTCCTCAACACTGAATAAAGAAAACACATCACCTGCTGTTAGCTTCCTGACTGCCCTTTGTCAATCACTAGTGGTCCAGGAGCCAAAGAACTGGGCTGGGTCAAGAGTGGGGAGTTCAGGTAGCTCTGCTGTCCTGTGTGCATGGTCAGCCTGAGTCCCCTGGACTGTGAAACGGAACAAGGGATAGAGGTGACCAGCACACAGCATCGTGCAGGGCTGCATGAGACCCTGTCTCAGGAGAAGCAAAAGAGGTGCATATACTTCCTGACAGAAGGCTGGTAAGGCAAAAATAGGCCCAGCCATAAAAACATCACGGTGTCCCTTCCAGTGGGTCTCTGCTATGTAGCTGGAAGCCTGCTTATATTTTCTTATTGGATTTTAAATTGTGATATGATTGAAATCAGGCTAGTGTGGGCAGAAAGACCTCCAAGTCAGCTTCCTTGTTTGCACACTGTCCTAAAAATGGAAACTAGTGGTGTGTGTGTGTGTGTGTGTGTGTGTGTGTGTGTGCTGGTCTAGTTGTTTGGGGTTTTTGCTTATTTTTATTTATTTATTTATTTATTTATTTATTTATTTATTTATTTATTTATTTTGTAGTGTTAAAGATAGAACCCAGAGCCTCTCACATGCTGGCAAAACACTCTACCACTGAGCTCTGTCCCCAGGCTGGTTTTTATCCTTCATCTGGGGACAGGGTCTCAGTAAGTTACACAGGCTAGCCTTGAACTCACTCTCTAGCCCAGGCAGGCCTTGAGCTTGTGATCCCCTTGCTCCAGGCTCCCCATTAGCTGCAGTTTTCCTACTTTCTTAATGGAAGGAGGTGTGTGCATACAGAGGAGAAAAAGCCGCAAGTACAGGAGGTTCTGCAGTGATTGGTTGGCTCTTCCTCCACCTCATCCCAGTTCCCTCCTCCAGAGCCAGCTTCTGTGTTCCTAAAGGAAACATGTTATTGAGTATGGTTATCTACAGAAAAAGAAGGGGTCTGTCCTGCTGACTCTGTGCCCGTCGCCAAGCCAGGGAGACAGAAGTGAGGTGTGTCCCTAGTAGCTAAACTAACACAAGGGACACAGAAGTATGGATGGGGAGCCATGGGGTGAGGGCAGGGCCTGGGGCTAGCAAAAGTGATAGCTGGTATTGTACCAGTGCCTTGGAGCTGGGCATGGTGGCACACACCCTTAATTTCAGCACCGGGAGGCAGAGACAAGTGGATCTCTGTGAGTTTGAGGCCAGCCTGATCTACAGAGCAAGTTTCAGGAGTATGTATAAAGACCCTGTCTCCAAACAAAACAAACAAAAAACCAGAAAGTGACTTGGAAAGGGAGTCCCTCCCCCTCGGCACCAAAGGCTGTGCACAGTTGGCACAGGGCCAGCTTCCTGCTCCAGCTTGTGTTGTTTGAGTCCCAGGCTGTGTAGAGTCAGCACACTGGGGTTTTTGTGAGTCTCTGAGCCTTCTAGAAGGTTTTGGTCCAGAGTAGAAAGGCCCAGATGTGCTCTCATGACACGGCCTCCCAAGGCTCTGGGGACTGTCTATAGGACTGCTGAGGGAGAATGCTCTTGCCCTGACGGTGCCCATGCTGGCAATTTCTGCCTGCACAGCTGACTTGGTTACAGCTTCTTCCCGTCATTCAGCAGCTTGCTGCTCTCTTCCTGCCTTTGCTGTGGCTATTGGCAGGAGTCATGCGACACCAGGACCTTGTTCAGCATTGCTTTCTTTCACAGGTCATGAGTATTGCTGGACTGTCAAATCCTGTCAGGCATCCTGATGGGCAAAAACCTCATCTCAATATCAGGCAGGCAGTGCATAGGCGGATTGTTACCTTTCCTGGTCCCTGGTGTTTAGCTACAGCTTCACAGAGGGACACCTCTGAAGCCAATGTGAAGACGACTTGGCATCTGTAGAGACCAAGCCAGGAGCCATTACACTCTGGATGAACACTTGGGTTGAAGTTATCCCATTGCTGAAGTGGTGGGTATGCTTTAGGCCTTACAAGAGCTCTCAGAGAAGACAGTGGCCTGAGAGGGTAGCTCTCCAGGCCCCTCCCATGACAGATAGGGACAGAGGACTCATCAATGCTGTTACTTGCAACTGACCTGAGGAATGGGCCCCAGAAGGCCTTGATAAGCGTCATCGTTTTTCAAGACCCAGTTTAGTTCTTTCCAAATTGTCCTATTGCTGGACAGGGTGGTGCATGCCTATAATCCCAGCATTCAAGAGGTTGAAGCAGGAGGGTGAGGACACAGCTCAGTGAGGGAAGTGCTTGCTGCGCACATATGACCTGACAGATCTCATAAAACCCACCTAAAGACAGGAGCGATGTGTCAGGAATCCCATCGCTTTTACAGTGAGATTGGAGGTGGAGACAGGAGGATGTCCACAAGTTCAAGGACTAGCTACCCGGCATGGGCAGCAGCCGACAAACAAAGAGACCCTGTCTCAGAAAAGGTGGAATTCGAGGAAGATGCCCAAGGTTGTCCTGACCTTCACTCATGCCCCTTGTGTGTGCACGCACTCACACGCACATGCACGCGTGCACACATACATATGCTAAAAAAGAACATGTAATTTAAAGACTCACTCTGAAAATAAGGAAACAGAAGCATGGAGAAATAAGATGGCGTGGGCCACCCAGCAACAGGGATGGAGGCACCAGGTCTTTGTTTGGCGAGAACACGTAACCCGAGCCTTCTTTCCCTTTCCGGCCATTTTTCTTCCCTCCTGCCACGTACAGCTTCTTTAGATCTCTTTAAAAAACATTTCTTCCCAGCCCTTTACGTCCTTAGAAAACTGCAGCAGGCTCTGCAGGTGAAAGCTTTGGGAGAGGAAAGGTAGAAATGGAGACCCTTGTAAACCACTCACCGTGCCGCCGGTAGTCACTCTTGCTGGGGAGACACGGAGCCTGGAACTTTCCTTCTGTCTCTCAGTGGCCTCATTCCATTTATGTGGCCACTCATGAGTCCCGGACACAGCAAGAGGCCTGCTCTCCGAAGCCAGGACCGTCAGTGTGGTTCCCAGCCAACCACAGCACACCGCAGCACAGGCCCGAGGAGATTGCCAAACACGGGACTCCATGCCCAGACTTTTGGAGTATTTATGCGCCAGTAAGACCCCCCCCCCCCAGGTGATTCCTATCTGAGGCTCCACACAGGCAGTCCCTTGCTCTGCTTCCCTCCCGAGAGCTGGCTCCTCACATCGCTGGCTCAAGAATCTGAGACCCAGCAACTTCCCCCATGTAAATGGCAGCCCTCTGCTTCCCTAGTCCCTTCAAAAATACAGCCTAGTGAAACCATTAGTTTATATGAGAGAATACTTGCTTTGTTGGGCAGATACTCAAGTTCTTCAAGAAGCAGGTGCACACACAGTTGTCTGTCTATCTGTGGAATTCCAGGACCTAAACTAAAGGCTAATTTATATCCATTCTTCCCAGAACACCCAGGGACAGAGGTTTGGGGGATTTCTGAAACATCAAAAAAGGTTGAGGATACAAGTGTTCTAGAAAGTTAATCTAGGGGCTGAATTGATGGCTAGGGGGTTAAGAGCACCTGCTGCTCTTCCAGAGGTCCTGAGTTCAATTCCCAACACCCACAAGGTGGCTCACAACCATCTATAATGAGACCCATGTGCCCTCTTCTAGCCTGCATGCATACATGCAGGCAGAACACTGTATACAAAATAAATAAATAAATCTTAAAAAAGAGAAAGCTAATCTATGGGCAGCGGTTATCCCTGCCCACCACTCCCCAACTGCCAATGCTACCAGAAACATGAGCTTGCTGGTTTACAAATAACTGGTGACCTCCTTTTTGCCAACCCTTCCCCAGCCCAGGTAGTTTTGATGGTTCCTGTTGAAAGGTGTTTAAAAGAACACAGAAGTCAGAGATGTTTTTTTAAACATTTTTTTCTTTTGGTTTGTTTTAAAGAAACTGCATACATCATCAGAGAGAAACAATAACTTAAATGCCATGCAGTTTCTGTATGTACAAAACCTAGGCCACAGAGATCCAGCTTAGTTTATATTCTATGTACAGCATCTTCCTCATACAGCCGTCATCTGTTAAGTTAGAACCCTGGAGGGCATGGGGTCGACGGGCACCACACTCACTCACTCCTATACAAAGACGAACTATGTACAGACACCAGGAAGCAACTGGAAGAAAGCAACCTGCTTGGGGAGGAACAGATTCGTGGGAGGAAGAAGTCATCGAAGGTGACCCCTGCCCATTGACTGTGCACAGGGAGAGCCTGGGATCCCATATCACCGAAGCAACACACCACGATGCTCATTCCGGAAGTACAGACACATGTTCATAAGCGGGAGAAAAAGAAACTCAGAGCGCCTGCTCGCACGGACCAGCGCCTTGTTTGGTTTCTCTATCTGGCAGAAAGGCTCACATTCTGAAAACCTGGCAGGGCTCTCAGGGTGTCTGGGGAAGGAGTGATCAGGATTTTGGAAAAGCCGGTTTGCCAGTGGCAGGCTCTTCTGCCTGGAGCTGGGACAGACGGGGCTTTCAGCAATGCCTGGTTTTGAGAAGAAAACAAGGTTTGACACGTTTCACGGTTTCCCTTCTTGCGAACCCGCACCCCACAGTGCTCAGATGCGGATGTATAGGCTCAAGATGAGCTCACTTGAAGACTGCAGCTGTGTCAGAGAGGGATGTTTAGAGTCACCTAGCTCGCCTTTCACCCCCCCAATTAATGTCAAATTGTCACCTTTAGAAACAGTTCAAGTCACTTCAGTTGTCCTAACAAAGTGGGGGGAAATGTGGTTCCAGCTCCTTAAAGACTCCAGGATCTCAGAAGGAGAGAGGAAGTGCCTTCCCACAGCTGGGGAGGCTGCAGAGCCTGGGCGGGAACCACTTGTCATGGCCTGAAATAGCTGATCCTCCCCCCCCCCAAAGGAGGTGGTGACCTTTTAGGAGCTTGTGTGGCACACCCCTAACTCTGAACAAGTGACTTCTGCCAAAGGGTGCCTCACAGGAAGTGATGTCGGCATTGTGTCCAACCTCTTCCGTGCATAAAGAGGAGGCCAACTCCAGGGCACGCTGAAGGGAATTGGTGACAGCAGCTGCTGCTTCGCAGCAGGGAGACAGATGCGTTTGGGACTTCTGAAGGGCCCTAGAACCAAGGCCAGCAGGGAAGCCAAGGAGTTCATTAGGACTCCTCCAGGCTGGGAAAGGCCTGACTGTCAGGCCAGGACACTACAGCAGCCTCAAGTGCAGCTGCTGTGTAGAGGAAGTGAGGCCCTCGGCCGGGCCAGGCAGGGACCTCCACCCAGAACACGTGCCTACCCTTCACCCTAGGGAAGTTCAAGGAAAGAGTTCTGTATCTTTCCTCCTACCGTGAGCACATTCGAAGGTCAGTAAGTCTTTCAGGAAAACTGTGTTTACAGCTGGGCTAAAACCCCGCCACCCTTTCCCTACTCCTCTGGACATTCAAATAATAATGCTAGAAAAATTCAGTGATGGTGATGTCTTTGGGCTGGACAGAGGTGTACTCGGTCCAGACAGTGCCCAGGAGCTGCATGGTGCTACCTGGGAAGCTGGTCTAAGCTTTCCTTTAACTCTGTCTGGTTCCTGGGTTAGCAACTGGCCATGAAGCATGAATGGGTGCTGTGTCCAAAGAGTAAAATTGCATGGCCTCACTGATAGGCGCTGTGTTCAAAGAGTAACATGGTCCCAACTGGTTTGACAAGGGGACAACTTTCTGGGGCTGGCCAGAATGGCAAGCTGACTTAATCTCTCTGAATCCTGGCTGTGTTGGAGGGGGAGTAAGCCATCACTTAGTGAACCCATGGCTAAGTGACTCTGAAAGCTGAGTGCACCGCGGGGTGGAGGCAGAGCTTTGCACCCAAGGGTCTGTGAGCTCCGCTAGGAAGGAAACAGTGCTGCAGCAGGCCTCCTTAAGGTCTGGGGTGTCCTTCCCTCAGTGTGCACCCAACCCTTGGAGGCTCTGTCAACAGGGCAGCTGGAGGCACATCTTGAGAGAGGGGGGCGGGGAGAGAAGAGAAGACTGAATCTCTCTGGTCAGAAGAGCAGCAAGGGACGCCATAGACAGTCATGGCTGGCAAAGCCTTGCCCAGTGCTAGCCCTGCTGAGGTGTCGGATCTGCTAAGATGCAGAAACTCTTCAGTGAACAGACAGAAGAGTGGAAGGCCCTGGAGAGGCACTGGGACATTGGTCCCCAGCTCTGGCCTCCATGTATTCAGAAGTTATGAAAACGGCCAAGCCACATCATCCTGTCCCAGGGGTGTCACAGGGACAATGAAAAATGGGGGCCAAGTGGAGCTCCTGACCCCAGCCTCTGCTCAGCTCATACTCACAATACCACAGGGAACCTTAGCAATGGCATTTCTGTGTGGATCGCCCATGGCCCTGGGCTTTCCAAACACAAGCTGGTCAACGAACGAGAACCAAGCAGGCAGCCACTATTTCTCGGTCTTCTGGAAGGCAGTTCAGTTCGGGCTGGGGGGTCAAAGCAGATGCTCAGTTTCAGCCTCCGATACCCACAGCACATATGCTCAGGATCAAAGGGCCAGTACAGGCTTCCCCAGAACAAGGCTGTGTGTGTGTTTGTGTGTGTCGGGGGGGGGGGGCAACTGAGAGGTCTTTCCCCTTTCCAGACCCTCTCAATGTCCCACGGGGAGCCTATGGGACCCACAGAGTTTAGGTCCGCTGACTCATGACTTTGGCCTAGCCACACCCATACCAAACCCGCTGCCCTTGGCTTCTTTGAACTCAGGCAACAGTCCCTTATGAGGAAGGGGTTCACTGAAGACTGAACCAATGTGGTGCCTGCTGGCCGGATGGGGGGCGGGTGAGGCAGTCTCTGGACTGTGTTCAGGTAGGGCCCTGCTGGGGGCGGGGACACCTCTCCGTAGCAGAAGTGCTAGCAGCATTGACTGAGGAGTGGTCACCATGGTGTTTCCTGCACACAGAATCCTGATTGTGTTTCCTTTTGTTTCTTCTTCTCCTTTTTTCTTTTCTTTTCTTTTTCTTTCTTTTTTTTTCTTATAAAAAAGGCAGTTCAGATTTACATTATAATGGGGAAGTGGACAAATGCCAGCACTTATGGTTCTTATAAATTTATGTTTTGAAGACAGCAGAGCGCTCAAGAGGAATCCCACTGTTAAGGTCGATGAAACCTGGGAAACAAGGAACTTCATCAGGGTCGTGGGAACATCAGAGGCCCCGATCCCACATGCCCATCTCTCCATCCTCAGAGACCCTGGTGTGACAGTGGCATTGCAGTGTGACCTCCCACCCATGGCACAAACACAAAGGGGGCACCCTGCGTATTTGAGCTCCACAGATTTCACCTAGGGACCAGAGAAAGTTTACTTTGGAGTCTTTGGAGGCCCAAATGGGTGTCTGCACCAGGGCATCTTACTGCGGGGCAGTCAGATGGCAGTCCTAACTGTGTGTCTGAGTCAGGCGGCATGTTCATTGGTAGGTCCTGTGTCTCCACATGTTCTCCAAAGGGGAGTGGTCAGAGAAAGGAAGCCAGTGGCTTCGTTACTAACTAGCCATGCGTCCACTCCACAGAGCAAATTCTTTCTGTGTCTCATTTCTCCCAAGCGACATCAGACAAGACTGCTTGGCAGAAGAGCACAGGACAACAGAACATTCTTTAGTGGTCCCGTGTGGTATTTTGGTATTCTGCCCAGGTTTGGGCCTCTGCTGACTGTATGTTGGTAACACTCCCATTTCCCCAGCTTCAGTTTTTATAAAAACTCACTTTGGGGTCGTCCAACACATGTCAGAGTTTTCATTTGAGCAAATTAAAAAAACAACAACAAAAAAACAGAGGGTGACTTTTTGCCTGGGCCTTAAACATTTTAACATTCTTTGTCTGAGGCTTTGTTTTGTTTTATTAGGATTATGCTGGCTGTCCCTGTCACCTGGACCCAGACAGTACCCTGCAGTATCCCTTTAAGAGACAACCTCTGCCCACTCAATCTCTCTCTCTCTCTGTCTCTCTGTCTCTCTCTGTCTGTCTCTGTCTCTCTCTCTCTGCCTCTCTGCCAGGCAAACTCCTCTCATTCCCTCCCTGACTTTTTCAGAAGAGGCAGCTCTCTACCCCTTTCTCCCCACTCCTTTTTCCTCTTCTCCCTCCTCCCCTCCCCTCCCCTCCCCTCCCCTCTCCTCCCCTCCTCTCCTCTCCTCTCCTCTCTTTGCTCCTGTTGGCACTAGAAATGAATTGGAGGCAGTGGGATCACAGCTGAGGATCCCTCTCCCCTCCCC